GCGACATAGCCATGACACTAACAACTGGTCCCGCAAAAATATTTCTTAAAAGAAAGAAAAATTTACCACCAACTGGTTTGTTTAAAAATTTTATTCCCTGGGAACCAGCAGTTACCATAATGGCTATGTTGCTGGACTCCCACATAGTCGACTGCGGCTCGCGTCCCGGACCCGGTGGCTTAAAACTCACGCCGGGCCCGTGTGCGTGCATGCCCAAGATCCCAAGAGGAGAATGGAGGAGAAGGGATTGTGGTGTGGCCATCCCCCCTGAGGGGTGATTTCTCGCTTTCTGTCTGTCTGTCGAGCGCACGCGCCCTATATCGAAAAAAAAAAAAAAACTCTCCAAAAAAAAAAAGAAGGTAAAGGAAATAAATGAGGACTAGAATTAAAATAAATAAATAAATAAATTTATTCCCTTATAGACTGACTGTGCCATGTTCCAAAAGGCTCTATGAAAGAATCCTCCTTTGCCTTTTTCTGGCCTCTCAGGGTTACTGGCCATCCTTGGCTTGTGAACTCAGTCTCTCTGAGTTAGTATATCTCTTAGTGTCTCTCATGAGTCACCAGTGATGGGATTTGGGATCCGCCCTAGTTCAGTATGACCTTTCCTTAACTTGATTGCATTCTCAAAGACCCTATTTCCAAATAAAGTCACATTCATAGATTCTGGGTGATCCGAGTTTCCATATATCTACTTTGGGGACATAATTCAACCACTGTGGTACGTCTGCTAAATAGGCTAACAAGTACTGGTCTGTCCTCAAGAAGCTAATTATTTTTTTTAAGTTTTGTTATTTCTTACATGAGAGGTAGACAGGCAACCCCAGCAGAGTCTTTATGCCACAATCCATCCCTAGCTTTAGCCACCTGGGATCTTGGAGTCAAATGTTGCCCCCAGTGCATCCTTGGTGTGCACGAGGAGGCCTGGACCTTCCCATGTGGGTCCAGCATGGCAGAGCATTGCATTATTGCCATATGACTCTCTCACTCCACAAAGCTCTAAGAGTTGCATTTTTCCCCAAAAGAAAAAGACTTGAAACACTGGTTTATGTAAGGTGCTTTGGGGCCATTTTTAACTTGTCAAGGTATGTTTAAACAATAAAGGAGAAGGCAGTATGTAGTAACCAGAAGCTCAAGAGTTTGGGCCAAGCAAAATGGGTTAACACGGTCTTTGAGTAGTGTTGATTCAGTGGTGATTTTCATTTTTCTTTCAGATCCAAGTCCAGCATCCAGCAGCCAAATCCATGATTGAAATTAGCCGAACTCAGGATGAAGAGGTTGGAGATGGGACCACATCAGTAATTATTCTTGGTAAGAGGAAAATGGAGGGGTGATATGGAAATGAAAAAATAATGTCTGTGTTGGGCTAGCTGGTGGTGTTTCGTGTAAAGCAGTTGGATTCCACATTGCTGACTGCACAGTGGATCTAATGGTGTATGCATGGTTGCCCCAAGTCCTGAAAGGTGGAAAAGTAAAGAAGGGATTACAGTATGTCCATCGCCCCATAAGGTGTGATTTTCTTACTCCTTGTCCCTCCACTGCCCAGTCTCTCTCTCTCCAATGAACACATACATGTATTTTCTGACAAGTTAAAAAATAATATCTGTCTCTCTGTCTCTCTCTGTCTGTCTGGCGAGCACATGTGCCCTATACCGAAAATCTCTCCAAAAAAAAAAAAATGAAGCTTGGTTGTACACGCTTGAAGACCAGTCTTTCAACTTCCTATAAGATCACAGATGATCATTTTTTGAAAGCTTGGCTTGTTGTCTTTATTGTATAAATTCTAAGTTGACTTGAAATTTTTACAATAGAAATATTTTTTTAAAAAAAGTCTGATTGCAATAACATTGTTACGAATGAGAAAACTTCTAAATTGAGCTATGCCTATTTATAGTGTTGACCCTCATGTCTAAGAGTAGAGACCTGGGGTCAGCAGATGGCATGGTAGTTACGACACTGGACCCCCAGATGACCAACCATAGTTTAAGTCCCAGAGTTGGCAGCTTAAAAATCATGCCAGGCGGAACCAGCAGCTGGTATAATGGCTATGTTGCTGGACTCCCATGTAGTCAACCACAGTTCGAGTCCCAGACCCAGTGGCTTAAACTCACACTGGGTGTATGTGTGTGCATGCCCCAAATCCCAAGAGGAGAATGGAGAAGAAGGGATTGTGGCGTGGCCATCTCCCCTGGGGGGTGTTTTCTCACTTTCTGTCTCTCTGTCTTTCAGGCGAGTGCACGTGCCCTATAGCAAAATCTTCTCAAAACAAACAAACTCATGCAAGGCATGTGTGCATGTGTACCCAAAATCCCAAGAGGAGAATGGAGAAGGGCTCGTGGCATGGCCTTTCTCCACCCCCACTCCAGGGGGATGATTTCTCACTTTCTTTTCTTGTCTCTCTAGGGAGTGCACATGCCCTATCGCAAAAATCTCTCTCTCCAAAAAAAGTGTCCTTACAACAGGCTATTGTTCATTTTTCTTTTTTAAAGATTTTTGCCATGGGTGCATGCATTCACTGGAGAGAAGCAAAGATAGTCCCCTCTGGGAGTGTGGTCATGCCACAGGTCTTTCTCTATTCTCTTGGGATTTTGTGGCATACATACTCAGCATGATTTTCTTTTCTTTTCTTTTTTTAAGAATTATTTTGTCTCATTTTATTCATTCATTCAATTCATTTGACCAGAGAGAGAGAGGGAGAGAGAGAGAGGGAAAGCAAGCCACCAGGTCTAGGACTCCAACCGTGATCAGCCATGTGGGAGTGTCTAACTCCTTAACCACTACACCACCTGCTGGTCCCCCATCCCAGCATGAGTTTCAAGCTTCAGTGTCCAGGGCTCAAACCACTGTCAGCCATGTGGGAGTCCAGCACCTTAACCACCATGCCACTTCCTGGCCCCAGGACTCTATTATGAATTTCCTTACAGTGTTGTTTTAAAGTTTTCTTAGAATGCATTTGTACCATTTGAAGAATGGAGAGTTACACAGAAAATTAGTTGAGTCACAACCAGCTAAGCACATCTCTAGATCAGCTTTTTTTTTTTTTTTTAAGAATTGAGAATTATACATGGTTTGTTCAAAATTGTAGAGACAAACTTGGGGGATGAAAAGAGGAGGAAAGATTTCATCAGCTTTCTCACTTTTTTTGGCAGATAGTGAGCATCAGATATTAGGCAGAATTATTCACTAATTGGGCCAGCAAGTGACATAGTGCTTGTGGCACCCATATGGTTGACCAGGATTTGAGTCCTGGACCTGGCGGCTTGGAAATCATGCTGGGTGCTTGAATGCATGTCCAAAAATCCTGAGAGGAGAATGGAGGAGAAGGGATTGTAGTGTGGCCATCCCCCCTAGGGGATGATTTCTCACTTTCTCTCTGTTTCTCTGAGAGAAACATGCCCTATAGCTAAAATCTCTCTTTAAAAAAAAAAGAATTATTTACTGATAATCCTAGTTGAGTAGGTGGAGCTACAAGGTGGGTTAAATATCCATGAGTCTAGTTAACCTTAGAAGTATGACTTTAAGAGGCCAGCAAGTGGCATGCTGGTTAGGCACTGGATTCCCATACGCCTGACTGCGGTTTGAGTCTCGGACTGGGTGGCTTGCTTTCTCACTTGTGTGTTCTCTCTCTCTTTCTCTGTCTCTCTAGTGAATTACAGTAATATAAAATTAAATAAATAGGGGGCCGGCAAGTGGCATGGTGGTTAAAGGCACTGGATTCCCACATGGCCGACCACAGTTCAAGTCTCGGACCTGGTGGCTTGCTTTTTCACTACCTCTCTCTCTCTGTCTCTCTCTGATCAAACTGAAAAATAATAATGATATGATAATAAATAAAGTTAAATAAAATAATTCTTTTAAAAATTTTTAATTAAATAGTCCTTTGGGAAAAGGAAGTGTGGCATTAAGAGGGAAAAAAACCTTGGCCTCACCTAAAGACAACTTCTGACTTACTATTCTGCTCTTGCCTTACAGGGCATAGGTATCTGTTTCTAAGTAATCTTACACGGACATCTTTTAAAATATTTATTGAGTATCTTTATTTTTTTAAGAGAGATTTTTGCAGTAGGGTGCAGGAGCTCAGTCGAAAGATAGACAGAAACCAAGAAACCAACCCCCAGGGAATAGGCATGTTGCAATCCCTTTTTCTCCTGGGATTTTGGGCACACACGCACATGCCTAGCCTGTTTGAAGCCACTGGGTCCGGGATTTGAACTACAGTAACCACATGGGAGTCCAGTGCCTTAACTACTATGCCACCTGTTGGCCCCTGAATATCTTTATTTTAATATACATGATGGACACTTAGAAATTGAAGTGAAGTATTGAATTCGAATATTTAGAGTATATGCAGAAATGTTTATATATGTATTAAGTGGTTTTTTTGTGTGTTAATTAGAAAGTAAAGACAAGGGGCTGGCAGGTGGCATGTTGGTTAATGGCGCTGGACTCCCACATGACTGACCATGGTTTAAGTCCTAGACGTGGAGGCTTGCTTTCTCACTTTCTGTCTCTTTCACTCTGTCACTCTCTGACCAAATTAAAAATAAATAAATGGATAATTAAGTTTAAATAAAACAATTTTTTTATACTTTTCTTTTTTTTTTGAGAGGTTTTTGCTATAGGGCACGTGCACTCACCAGACAGACAGAGACATAGAGACAGAAAGCGAGAAATCACCCCCAGGGGGGATGGTCACGCCGCAGTCCCTTCTCCTCCATTCTCCTCTCGGGATCTTGGGCACTCACACACGAGTATAAAGCCACCAGGTCCGGGACGCAAACCGCGGTCGACTACGTGGGAGTCCAGCGACATAGCCATTATGCTAACTGCTGGTTCCCAATAAAACAATTAAAAAAAAAAAAAGTAAAGACAATTTTTAGAAGAAAAGGGCTCTGGGCCAGTCAGGTATCGTGGTAGTCAGGGCAGCTGGATCCCACATAGCTAATTGTGCGGTTTTAGTTCCAGATCCGGCAGCTTGGAAACACACTGGACACCTATGCATGCATGCCCCAAATCCGGGTAGAATAGAGGAGAGATGGCAACATGGCCCTCCCCTGAAGGGGTGCTTTCTCACTTTCTCTCCAGCATGCACATGCAACCTGTAGCAAATTGAAAAAAAGAAAAGGACTTTCCTCATCTAGAGCAGGGGTTCCCAACTCCCGGACCATGGACCAGTACCAGTGTGTGGCCCAGTTGGAACCGGGCCAGTGAGCAGGAGGTGAGCAGTGGATAAGTGAGTGAAGGTTCATCTGTATTTACAGCTGCTCCCTATTGCTCCAATGCATTAACTGCCTGAGCTCTACCTCCTGTCAGATCAGTTATGGCATTAGGTTCTCATAGGATCACAAACCCTATTGCACATGCAAGGTATTGAAATTGTGTGCTCTCAGTGCTTTCTCACTTTCCCTCTCTCTCTTACTCTGTCCCTCTCTGGTCAGAGAGATGGTGGGGAGGGGCAGTGTGGCATGGTTAAGGGCCCATGACTCCTATATGGCCAACAGCAGTTTGAGTCCTAGACCTGGTAGCTTGGCTTGCTTTCTCACTTTCTCTTACTCTGTACCTCTCTGGTCAAATTAAAATAAATAAAGTTAAATAAAGTCATTCCTCAATTGTGTGCTCTCATAAAGCATCCCAACCCTCTCCCCCAATCCCTGTCTGTGGAAATTTTTCTTCCATGAAACTGGCCCCTGGTGCCCAAAAGGTTGGGGCTGCTGGTTTAGAGGATAAATTTTATACATTTTTGGGGATATATCAGGAGTTTTAAGTGTGTTCAGGTTGTGTTTTATATTTCAGCACAGCAGTTCAACTGTATCCTAAGTTGCTGAGTTAGTAATAAAAATTTTTCCCTTTGTGCATTTTTTTTCTTTTGAAGAATTATTTATTGGGACCAAGAGATGGTGTAATGGTTACATTGTTGGACTCCCAAAAATCTCTTTTTTAATAATTTTTTTCCTTTTATTATTTTTCATTTCATTAAAAATCTCTCTTTTAAAAAATAATATTTAACTTTATTATTTTTTCCATCTGGAGAGAGGGAGGGACTCAGTGTGTGAAAGCAAGCTGCCAGGTCTGGGACTTGAACTATAGTCAACCATGTGGGAGACCAGAGCCTTAACCCCAATGCCACCTGCTGCCCCCTCTGTGTATTCTTTAATTTGCTAGAGGGCACATGTGCTCACCAGTAGGAAAAGGGGAAAGCAAGAAAGCACCACCATAGGGAATGGTCATGCTACAATCCCTTCTCTCTTTTTCCCTCCTTGGGGTTTTGGGCACGCATACATATGTGCCTTGTATGTTTTTCAAATCAACAGGTCTGGGACTCAAACCTCAAAGTTGACCATGTGAAATCCAGTTACCTTAACCACGAGACAAGAAACTGACTCCTCTTGTCTATATTTTTTTTCTATTCTACAGTGTATAGGGGGAAGAGTTTTTATTTCTTTTTCTTTAGAAAACCACAATATTTACGGGAACCAGCAGTTAGCGTAATGGCTATGTCGCTGGACTCCCACGTAGTCGACCGCGGTTCACATCCCGGACCCGGTGGCTTAAAACTCACGCCGGGCGCGTGTGCGTGCGTGCCCAAGATCCCAAGAGGAGACTGGAGGAGAAGGGATTGCGGCGTGACCATCCCCCCTGGGGGTGATTTCTCGCTTTCTGTCTCTCTGTCTCTGTCTGTCTGTCTGGCGAGTGCATGCGCCCTATAGCAAAAATCTCTCCAAAAAAAAAAGAAACCATAATATTTAGGTAGAAAGATCAAAAGAATAAGTAAACTCTTAGTTCAATCTTTGATCACTTAAAATGTGTCCAGTGAGGATGTTTTCTTTATGAATTGGGTAGTACAAAATACAAAATTTGGAATAGTATTAAAAGCTAAATGGTATTTCTTTTGAGAGGAAGTGTTTTAGGGGAAAAAAAGGTATTTTTTGAAGTATTATGAAGTTGACTTGATATCCATATTTTGGAAACATCACTGTGATGTTTGTATTCTTTTTCAGCGGGAGAAATGCTGTCTGTGGCTGAGCACTTCCTAGAGCAGCAGATGCACCCAACAGTGGTGATCAGTGCGTACCGCAAGGCATTGGATGACATGATCAGCACCCTAAAGAAAATCAGGTATTGGAGGGCTGAAAACAGTGGTGTCAAATATGAGAGGCCAGGCACATCTCTTATACACACAGTGGTTTAAACTCCAAAGTCATTTTGTGAGGAAAGCAAAATAAAGAGGAGGGTAAGGCAAGTTAAAGTTCTTTTTCTTTCTTTTCTTTTTTTTTTTTTTAAGAATTATTTTATTTAACTTTATTTGATTTTAATTTGACCAAAGAGGGACTGACAGAGAGAGAGAGGGAAAGTGAGAAGGCAAGCCATCAGATCTGGGACTCGAACCGTAGTCAGCCATGTGGGAGTCCAGCACCTTTAACCACCATGCCAAACTTTATTTTGCTGTTCCCTGGCAAATTAAAGTTTAATTAATGGCGAGAACCAGCAGTTAGCGTAATGGCTATGTCGCTGGACTCCCACGTAGTCGAGCGCGGTTTGCGCTTCTTCCTTAATAACCATACAGAGAAACAGCGAATCCGGGCCGCTCTCCTCTGAGACTGCACGCCCCCCGGCCTCCACGTTAAAGAGCATTGCTTGCCGTGTGTGTTTTATCTTCTTGTGTTTATGCGGGTCCTACATTTTGGCCGTGCTTGACATGGCAGGTCTGTTTTTATTTTATTTCTAAAACTTTTAAAGAATAATTATTTACTTAATTTAATTTGTTTTTATTTTTTAATCTGACCAGAGAGAGACAAAGAGAGAGAGGAAGGGAAAGTGAGAAAGCAAGCGACCAATGGCTATTCTTGTACAGCAGTTGGCCACTTGGGAGTCCAGCACCCAACCACCACACCGCCTGCCAGCCCCAAGACTTATACACACAGTGGTTTAAATTCCAAAGTCATTTTTGGGAACCAGCAGTTAGCGTAATGGCTATGTCGCTGGACTCCCACGTAGTCGACCGCAGTTCGCGTCCCAGACCCGGTGGCTTAAAAACTCACGCCGGGCGCGTGTGCGTGCGTGCCCAAGATCCTGAGAGGAAATGGAAAAGGGATTGCAGCGTGAGTATCCCGCCTGGGGGGTGATTTCTCGCTTTCTGTCTCTATGTCTCTCTCTGGCTGGCTGGCAAGCATATGCGCCCTATAGCAAAAATCTATCCCCCCCAAAAAAAGTCATTTTTAAAATATCCTACCATTGGGACCAGCAGGTGGTATAATGGTTATGTTGCTGGACTCCCATGTAGTCGACCACAGTTCGCAGCAGTTTGAAACTCGGGCCAGACGTATGTATGTGTGTATGTATGCCCAGAATCCCAATGGGAGAATGGAGGAGAGGATTGTGGCGTGGGTGTTCCGAGTAGTGATTTCTTGTTTTCTGTCTCTCCAGTGAGCACATGCTCCCTATAGCAAATATATGTATGTGTGCATATCCTACCATCAAGTTATGATTATAGCTAGTTCAGTACTCTGATGAAGTGCTGTTGAATGGTAGCCAGCAGTTTTCCATTAAAATTTTTAAAAAGGGACCAAAAATACTATTTGTTATTTTTTCGGTTTTTGTGTTTTTTTTTTTTCTTTTAATTTTTGCTGTACAGTAGCATTAACCAGAGAGAGAAAGAAAGTGAGGAAGCATCCCCCCAGAGGGGATGGCCACATGTGAAATCTCCATTCTCTCAGGATATTGGGCACACATGTACATGCACTTGGCATGTTTCTCAAACTGCCACAGCTCCACAGTCGGTCATATGGGATCCAGTCGCCTTAACTTTTGCTGTATTTGTTGACCCCAAAGATGTGTGGTTTTGTTTTGTTTTTTTTGAGAGGTTTTTGCTATAGGGTGCATGCGCTCGCCAGGAAGACAGAGAGAGACAGACAGAAAGAAGCAAGAAATCACCCCCCAGGGGGAATGGCCACACTGCAATCCCTTCTCCTCCTTTCTCCTCTCGGGATCTTGGGCACGTGCACACACGCACCCAGTATTAGTTCTAAGTCACCGGTTCTAGGACTTGAACCGCAGTTAACTACATGGGAGTCCAGTGACATAGCCTTTATGCCAACTGCTTTTCCCCAAGTTTATTTCTTTTGTGAGAGAGAGACAGGCACAGGTACTCCTGACAGGGTCTTGCCACTTCACAACACTCACCTCCAGTCACCTCTTCAGCCAGGGTCACAGGCACAGGTCCATCCAGCATGTTAAGGTCAACCCAGGATCTGAACCCAGACATTCCATTTGGCTCCGGCATTGTGGAGCACACTCTGTACTTTGTGTGGCCTCAACTGGGCCTATTTGTGTATTTTCTTGTTTTATTTTAATTTGCCAGTGGGCATGTATGCTTGTGGGGAAAAAGCGAGTGAGTGATGGAGCAGCCCCTCCTCCTCTACGTTAGGGTTGGTCACACCCCAATCCTGTCTCCTTCGTTTCTCCTTTTGGGATTTTGAGAATACACACGCTTGTGCCCAGCCTGTTTCTCAAGCCAAGTCTGGGACTCAAACTAGGCAGTTAGCCATGTGGGTTCCAGTTGCCTTCACCACCACATCATCAGTTGGCCATTTGTGGTTTTTTATTTTACTTTTCCAGAATATTTTTGATCCATGGTTGGTTGAATCCACAGATGCAGAACTTATAGAGGGCTTGACTATATGTACAGTTTTATACATTGGTTTAAAAATAAATGTAAAAGAAAACCCAGAGTGAAAAACAGCAGATGGCATAATAGTTATATCACTGGACTCCCACATGGTGAACTGTGGTTCGAGTCCCAGACCCAGAGGCTTAAAACTCACACTGGGTGCATGTGTGTGTGTGTGTGCCCAAGATCTCAAGAAGAGAATGGAGCAGGAGAGATTTTGGCATGAACACCCCCCCCGGGGGGGGTGATTTCTCACTTTCTGTCACTCTGCCTCTCTGGCGAGCACTTGGGCCCTATACCAAAAAGGATAAATGAATGAGTGAATAAATGACCAAAGTGGATAGTATAGTGGTAATTTGATGTTGAGAGGAACTCTTAGAATTGGCTCTTTATAGGATAAAATTTTATTAACAAAATGTGTCTTAATCTTAGTTGTAAAAATTGAGTTCATTTGAAGGGGAAGATGAGGAACAATAGTCTTACTGTAAGCTTCATTTGTAAATACGAAGTTGTCAGACAGGGGAACAAATTGCTCAGGTATTAAAGTACCTTCTTAAGAGTGGGTTAGTTGTAGTCTTGCTGAAAGGCAGGTGCAGCCAGGATTGCTTCTTGCTGTGCCTTCGAGTTTTACAACGAAACAGGTCCCCTTGTTCTCCCTTTTGACCTGCTGTTGTAGTCACTGAACTATCGATGAGGGACTTCTTTAAATGTCTGAGAGGCCTGCTGAGCTCGTTACCTGGTGTTCTTTTCTCAGTACTCCTGTGGACGTTAATAACCGCGATACGATGCTGAACATCATCAACAGCTCCATTACCACCAAAGCAATCAGTCGATGGTCCTCTTTGGCCTGTAACATTGCGCTGGATGCTGTTAGGACTGGACAGTTTGAGGAGAATGGTCGGAAGGAGATAGACATCAAGAAATATGCCAGGGTGGAAAAGGTAAAGTCTTTTAAGGTGTACTTTGGGGATCAGGTATTTCCTAACACAGATCATCCCACCTGTGAAGAAAGTAGTTTAAAACCAGAACTAGATTTCCAATTGCAACTAGGAAGAACTACTCTTACAGCTGGAAAATAAAGCCTAAGGAGGCTACCAGGGAGGAAGTCCTGAAATAATTTTGTTACCCTCACTGTTGTCCCTACACGGGTTTATTTTGGGGGGGCGGGGGGGAGGTTTGTAGGGCGCGTGTGCTCGCCAGAAAGACAGAGACAGACAGACAAAGTGAGAAATTACCCCCCAGTGGGGATGGCCATGCTGCAGTCCCTTCTCCATTCTCCTCTCAGGATTTTGGGTGGGCATGCACACGCATCCGGTGTGAGTTTAAGCCACTGGGTCCAAGACTTGAACTGTGGTGAGTCCAGTGACATAGCCATTACGCCAGCTGCTGGTTCCCCCCTACACAGCTTTATAAGAGCTGTGGAGAAGCTTATTGTGGTCTCCATGTACATATTACTCACTTGATTAGGATGTAAACTTAACGAGGACTGTTATGAGAGGTCTCCCACAAGTTTATGGGAAGTACACATTGTATAAAAGCTATTCACCACATAATTTATACTTTTAATTAACTTCAGAACGTGAGTTTTTTTCCCTTTAACATTTATTTATCAACTTAGTGATTTTCAAGCCACTGGGTCTGGGACTGGAACCATGTTCATCCACATGGTAATTCAGTGCCTTAACCTCCACACCACCTGCTGGCCCCAAGAATGTGAGTTTTTTGTATGTGTGTTTGTTTTTAATTGCCGGAGGACACTTGTGCTGGAGAGAGAAAGGGCACAAGCATGCACATGCGCCCTAATGGGGCAGAAGCATACCACAGTTCCTTCCCCGCCACTTCTCCACCCGGAAAAGACTATGGGCATGCACACACACATGCCCAGTGTACTTTTCCTGTCACCAGGACTGGGCCTGAAACCCCCATTGGCCATGGGGAATCTGACTCCCTCTGGTCAGTAGCCAGTCCTCCAGATTATTTTGTGCTGTGTCTTAATTCCGTTCCCATAGAACTAATCTTAACTTTAGTAGGATTGGAGCAAGCTTTCTGAAGCTCGTAAGTGCTCTATGAGGGGACTTTGAGCTTTTCAGAAAGCTTTCTCCGATCCTACTAAATTCGAGATTAAAAAGTGAAAGTAGTGGGACCAGCAGTTAGTGTAATGGCTATGTCGCTGGACTCCCACGTAGCCGACTACAGTTTGAGTCCCTGACCTGGTGACTTAAACTCACACCGGGCACCTGTGTGTGTGTGCCCAAGATCCCAAGAGGAGAATGGAGAATGACTGAGATGTGGCCATCCCCCCCCAGGGGGTCATTTCTCGCTTTCTAGCTCGCTCGTGCTCTCTCTCTCTGGCGAGCGCATGCTCCCTCTAGCAAAAACCTCTCCAAAAAAAGAAAAAATAAAGAGACCAGCAGTTAGCGTAATGGCTATGTTGCTGGACTCCCATGTAGTCGACCACGGTTCGCATCCTGGACCCGGTGACTTAAAACTCACGCCGGGCGCGTGTGCATGCGTGCCCAAGATCCCGAGAGGAGAAGGGATTGCGGCGTGGCCATCACCCCTGGGGGGTGATTTCTCACTTTCTGTCTCTCTGTCTGGCGAGCGCACGCACCCTATAGCAAAAACCTCTCCAAAAAACTAAATAAAAATAAGTGCAAGTAGTACATTACAGCCAGTAGGTGGAGCCCTAAGCTTGAAGTTCTATGGGAATATCTTTAAGGAGAAACCTGAGCTCTTTATTGTTATTTATTTTTTAAGAATAACTATTTTCAGGGCCGGCAAGTGGCATGGTGGTTAGGGGCACTGGACTCCCACATGGCCGACCACACAGTTCAAGTCTTGGACTTGGTGGCTTGCTTTCTCACTTTTCTCTCTCTCTCTCTCTGTCTCTCTGATCAAACTGGAAAATAATAATGATAATAATAATAGACAAAGTTAAATAAAATAATTCTTTAAAAAAAGAATAACTATTTTGTCTATTTAATTTTACTTGTTATTATTTTTTAATTTGACTAGAGAGAGAAAGAGAAAGGGAAAATGAGAAAGCAAGCTACCACATCTGAAACTTGAATCATGGTCAACTGTGTAGAAGTCCAGCTCCTTAACCACCAATGCCACCTGCTAGCCTCAACCTGAGCCCTTTTAAACATTTTTCAAGTCACTGAATTTCTCTGAGTTGCAGCTGACCTTCAGATTGGGTATCATGGTCCCAAGTTTGGTGTTCCTTCTAGGGGAAAAAGGTGGATGTGACCATGTTAGAGCTTTAGTGAAGAAAGGTACTTTAGAATCTTGACATAGTGGTCATATATGAAAGATGGTGTTTCGGAAAGGGGTTGGGAAATTATCTCCACTGGGTATGCATTAAAGTGGGTCATCTTTCGTTCAGATACCTGGGGGCATCATCGAAGACTCCTGTGTCTTACGAGGAGTCATGATTAACAAGGATGTGACCCACCCACGAATGCGGCGCTTTATCAAGAACCCTCGCATTGTGCTGCTAGATTCTTCTCTGGAATACAAGAAAGGAGAAAGCCAGGTAAGAGTCCTGGCCCTGTTGCTTAAAGTGGGTGTAAGAATTTGACTTACAGATTAATCCGGATGAGGAAGATAAAAGGTCCGTTTGTTGTCTTCCTACTCTGTGCAGTTACTGTCCTTTACATATGCTCCCTCTGACTCTCAGCAGTAGGCCGAAAATAGTTGGTATTGACTCCATTTTACAGGTGGAGGTTCTGGAAGTTAGATTAATTGCCTGAGTAAGGAGCCTCGCTAGTATTGGCCAAATCAAGATTTAAACCTAGCTGTTCCGGTTTTATACTTTTTTTAAAAATTTCTTTGTTTTATGTATTTATTTAAATTAGACCAGAGAGGGACAGAGCAAGACAGAGAGAGAAGATGAGAAAGCAAACCGCCAGGTCCATGACTCAAACCGCAGTCAGTCATGTGGGAGTCCAGCGACAAAACCATGACACCATTTGTTGACCCCTGTTTGTTTGTTTCTGTTTTATACTATTATACCATCTTTCCTAATGTGCCAGAGAACGTAAGGAAGGAGTTAATTTAGCTTTGAAGTGCTGAAAGAGAATTTTCATATGGCAGGAAGCTCACAAGGCTTCATTGCCCTTGAGTAAAACAGTCATTGAATCTTTTTTTTTTTTTTTTAAAAAAAATTGTTTTTTATCACTTTTTTTTCTTTTTTAGGTTTTTGCTACAGGGCGCCTGTGCTCGCCAGAAAGACAGAGAGATAGAAAGCCAGAAATCACCCTCCAAGGGGGATGGCCACGCCACAATCCCTTCTCCATTCTCCCCTTGGGATTTTGGGCACGCAAGCACACATGCCTGGCGTGAGTTTTAAGCCACTGAGTCGGGGATGCAAACCACAGTCAACTACATGGGAGTCCAGCGACATAGCCATTACGCTAACTGCTAGTCCCCAGTTGTTGAATCTTAACTAAACTAGCGCTCGGAGCCAGAATCAGTTAGTGAGAAGAATTAAGACACGGAATTTCCATGTATACTGGCAGACCAGAAGTAACACTGAACTAGATGGTCAGAGGCCTTAAAAAGGCCACCACTTCCCTTGTGACCTTGAGTTCTAGGTGCTATTTAATTAAATGAAGGCATTAAACTAGATGATAGCGCTAAACCGGCTTGTAGATGTGTGAGCTCATGGCTTAACCAGCTAACTTGTATTTTCTTGCGCTAACTCCTACTTTCATACATGAAAGTGTCTGGTCGTGGGAGTATAGTAGTTGGGATGACCTTGAAAAGAACCTCCTCAGTCCAGGGGTTTTTAAATCTGGTGACTGTCCTTCACCACACAGACTGACATTGAGATTACACGAGAGGAAGACTTCACCCGAATCCTCCAGATGGAAGAAGAGTATATCCAGCAGCTCTGTGAGGACATTATCCAACTGAAGCCTGACGTGGTCATCACAGAAAAGGGCATTTCGGGTAGGCGCTCTCCTCTCTCCCCTTCATACCAGCATAGCATAACAGATGTGTGATGGTAGAACCAGCTTACAGCCCAGAGTTCTGGCATCCAGCTTGACTCGCACCTCTGCTCTCGGATTTGCAGATTTAGCTCAGCACTACCTCATGCGGGCCAATGTCACAGCCATCCGCAGAGTCCGGAAGACAGACAATAATCGCATTGCTAGGTGAGTAGGCCAGTTAAAAATAGGATTCATCCTTCCATGTGTTTCCTTTTTGTAGCTGCATAATGTAGTCATCATTACCTGAAAATTTAATTAAGGGTGCAGTAAAGGAGGAAAATAACTTGGGAGTCAGCTGATTGCTCTCTTCAGAAGTCCTTCAGTGCAACAATTACCCACTGCGGGGGCCTTTTCTGCTCTCTCCGTAACCACTAGTGAGCAGCTTGTGCTTAGGTAGCTGTAATCACTGCCTTGTCTGGTAGGTGTCCATTATGATTGTAAATAACTACTTGTCAACGAATTCTTTTCTTTATTGTCATCGTGATGATTCTAGTGAACATTTTCCGAGCTATCTGTTTTAACTGGCTCGGGATATAACAGGCCTGTGTGCATGTGTGCCCAAGATCCCAAGAGGAGAATGGAAGAGAAGGGATTGCAGCATGGCCATCTCCCTCTGGGGGGGGGGGGATTTCTCATTTTCTATCTCTTTGTCTCTCTCTGTCTTTCTGGTAAGCACATGCACCCTATAGCGAAACCTCTCAAAAAAAAAATTCCTAGTTAATGTATACTTACATATTAGGCTGTCCAGAAACTCATGACATTTTTTCTGTGCAAAAATGCATTATGGGGGCCAGCAGGCGGCATGGTATTTAAGGGTGCTGGACTCCCACATGGCCTACTGTGATTCAAGTCCTGGGCCTGGCAGCTCGTTTTCTAATTCTCTTTCTCTCTGCGTCATTCATTCGCTCTGTTTCTCTCTGATCAAGTTAAAATAAATAAATTAAGTTAAATAAAATACTTTTAAAACAATGCATCATGTAGGTCAGCAGGTGGCGTGGTGGTTAAGGAGCTAGACACTCCCACATGGCTGACCATGGGTCGAGTCTTTGACCTGGGGCTTGCCTTCTCACTTTCCTTCTCTCTGTGTGCCTGTCTTTCTCTGGTCAAATGAAAATGACAGAATGAGGACCAGCGTTAGCATAATGGCTATGTTGCTGGACTCCCATGTAGTCAACCGCGGTTCGAGTCCCTGACCTGGTGGCTTAAATTCACGCCGGGTGCATGTGTGTGCGTGCATGCCCAAGATCCCAAGAGGAGAATGGAGGAGAAGGGATTGTGACATGGCCATCGCCCCCCCCCCCGGGGGGGGTACTTTTTGCTCTCTATGTCTCTGTCTCTCTCTTTCTCTCTGGCGAGCGCATGTGCTCTATAGCAAAAACTTCTCTAAAAAGAAAAGAAAATTACAGAATGAATAAATTAAAAATTAAATAATCCTTTTTTAGAAAATGTGTCATGACTTTCCCAACAACCCACACTTAACCTTTGTCCTTGCTTACATTTTTCTTGATATAATTCTATTTTTGTTCTTGGGATGTACAGGGTAGGTTCTATCAACTAATGACCATTACATTAAAACTCATCTGTTTCTATTTCAGTAACCAACAAAGTATATTTTGAATTCAACCATATCTAGTTATGGTAGTACTAACTACTTGTCTTGCATATACATGAGTTTATTGTCCTTATTACTTTAAGGAAACTTCACTTATATATGTTTGAAATTTTTTTTCACCAGGCAGCCAAAACCTCTCAATTGATATTTCTAGCAATCTGTTGCTGCCTTAATTCCATCCACAGACTCTAGGGAAATATTTAAGAATATCTAAAACCATTTTCTTCCTGCCTCCTCATAGAGCCTGTGGGGCCCGGATAGTCAGCCGACCAGAGGAGCTGAGAGAAGATGATGTTGGAACAGGAGCTGGTCTTTTGGAAATCAAGAAAATTGGAGATGAGTACTTTACATTTATCACTGAGTGCAAAGACCCCAAGGCCTGTACCATTCTCCTCCGAGGAGCCAGCAAAGAGATTCTCTCGGTGAGTCAGCCTTGGTAGTATGATCGATGAAGCTGATCACTCCTTAAGGCCTTCTCAGAGGACCTAAAATCATCTCATTTATAGTTATTAATTTGTCTCTCTAGCCACAAATACTTTTCCTGTTCCTTT